TGACGTCATACCCCGCACCCCCCTCGGAGCTCCTGGCTTAGAACCGGCCTAGTTACACTACTGTAAAGCCACTTCCAATGAGGATCTAAAGCTTTTTGTCTTTCTCGTTTGCAATGTGCATTTATGGAATAACGTTAACAATTTTGTATACATCATTGTATACGATTTTTTTTTATATAGCATTTTCTTTTTAATACGATTAATTTCTAAATTTTGTCGATAGCGATGGTGCTTTTAAGCACAATTTTTTTCTAAATTATTTTTATATTGGCACCGTTTTTTAGCGCGATTAGTTTCTAAACGTCGCATGTACGATAATTGTTTAGTTACACGTGTCTTTTCTTTATACAGTAGATCTTTATCAATATTTTTTTTTAATGTACTATTTTTATCTAGAGAATGTTTCTTAAATCCAATTTTTTATTGTAAAGTGTATGTATATTATCCACTTTATTATAACTACAGATAACATTACTTGTATTCTTAATTTTATAATAGTTATTTATTTTGCAGACAGCAGTATTGTCATCGTAGTTGCTGTTTTTAATATCATTATTACTTTTGCACACAATATTATTCTTTTTATAAATTGCATAATTATCATTATCCTGAAGTTTTTCATATTCATGAACCTGTTCACAATGATTGCTTAAAGTTAAATCTACTATACATTCTTTTAAATATAAACTATCTTGCGTTTTTGACTCATCATTATTTAAATTTTTTATAGATTCATTGCTAAATTCTTTCTGATCTGTACAATACATCCGCATAAGTATCGCTTGATATTCTCTTTTATGTATTTCTTGTATTTCTGCCAATGACAGTACTTTTTGTTGAACACCGCATAGATCTTGAGGAAAATGTTCGAGTATGTTTGTTTCATACATTTTTAGTAAATGTGAACGCATTAAACTATGATCGTAAGTAACTCTTTCAGGTTCAACATTAAAAAACCAGGATATTGCAAAAGCTATTGCAAAAACCCCGCAATCATTTCCGTTTGGTTGTTGTTGGACTGTGGGGAATAAAATAGGACAATTCTTTTCAAAATAAGTTAGAAATAAGTTTTCTAAAAATTTTTTATGCTCTTCATACAATTTTTTTGATTCAACAAATCGTAAATAAAAATATTTTCCGTATCATAATAGCTGCATACCCAATGGAAATCACCGTACAAATTTTGTATATGTTTTATATTTATTGGCACGGGTTTTATTGTATGAAAGACTTGCAATCGAATTGTTTCTACGGGCTTTTAATAATTCGAACAGTTTCGTATCAAGCGGCCGATTTCATCTATATGGAGAGATATCAGTCAACCATTCACCTCGAATAAGTATATTTTTGTTACTTTCCGGCAGAATTACACGATTACGGTTCAAGTTTGATCATATCGATATTTCTTTGTAGCGTGATTATTTTCCAAAACTTCTTTATGTCGATTTTTAATGCAATTATTTTCAAAATGTTGCGTGGAAGATTCTTCGGTATTGTATATTTTAATAATATTATCTTCTTTGTTGTTAGTACAAATATATTATTACTTTTATTATCATTTTCACATGTATTATTCTTCAATGTTATTATTATTTTTAATTTTACAGATAGTATATGTATTATTCCTTTTTGTATTGTAAAAAGTATAGTATTATCCAGAGACCATAACAATTATAACCAAAATGAAAAACAGTCATAGGATAAGAAGTATTTTTTGACTACAATGTTTTTAGTTACAAATAATTATTAACAATGACCAAAAATCTGTTGTTTTGTTGATAATCATTATAAATGAGCAAAATTTACTTTGATTTTTAATAACAGTTATTGGTAAAGGGAACTTTATTTTGGTCGTTTAGAATAATTATCGCTGAGAAAACTTTATTTTAATTGCTCATAACAGTTATTGATAAAGGAAATTCTGTTCCGATTACTCTTAATAGTTATCGGTAAGGGAAATGTAGTTTAATTGCTCATAATAGTTATTGATGAGAGAAACTTAATTTTGATCGCTCATAGTAATTATCGGTAAGAGAAATTTATTGTAATTGCTCATAACAGTTATTGATGAAAAAAATTCTATTTTGATCACTCTTAATAGTTATCAATATAATGAAAATATTGTTTTGGTTGCATTTGACTAACAAAATTTTAGATGTACTTTATTACTGCGATTAATACTTATATCTTTGGTTCAAGTTACAAAACCTAACAATCAAATATCAAATTCAAAAAAGTTATTCAGTACTTTGATAATTAATTCCTTTTTATTAATGAAAAATTATATTTATTGACTTTTATTATTTATAATTATATTACATAGAATTCAACTTAACAAACATAAGTTTTTCTAAGTTTTCTGGAGATAAGTTGCAACGCAAATCATCCAACATAATTTTTAAAGCTGAAAAGGCTCGTTCAACACTGACTTGAGTCGCAGGAACAGCGTGAATTATTAGTGCCAACTTCGACAAATATGGAAGTTTATATTTTTGTTTCCTCCAATATTCGACAATATTTTGATTGATATTAATTCGTTTTTCCTTATAGTTCTCAATTTCTGAGTATGCTTTGATAATTTCGGGATAACTAGTAATTTCAGATTCATCATCAGAGGAGGACACATCCACTTCCATCATTCTTATGGAATGTTCAAGAAGAGAAGCTGAATTATTTGTAGAAGTAGTTCCGCTATTTTCTAAACTATCGTTACAGATACCTTTCTGTTGATTTTGGTTTATTTGGCTATCATTCTAAAAAAACATTTATTACAATGCTTTTACTGTAGTGTAAGTAAAGTAATAAGAGAATTATATTATTTGAATTTAAAGAATCAGATGACAAGTAAGAATGAGATGTAAGCAAAATCGTTGCAGAAACATGGCAAAATTGAAAAATCGATTGTGCTAAATTGTGTTGGCTTGCGAAGCTGTACTATACTTTATAGCACGATTGATTTTTCGATCTTGCTATAGTTTTGCGGCTATATTACCTGCTTAATAGAAAGCATATGAGCAGCAACTTTTTTCAAATGTTTCTTTGCTTCTGTTTTTTTTTCTGTAGACAAGAGCCGTTTTAATCGCGGATCTAAAAAAATCGCAGCATTAAGTGCATCGTTGTCTAATAACTGCGATTCTCTACTTTTCAATTTTGCCAAGATTGTATTAGCTGTTTCGGATGCCATTGACTGTAGCTGTATTTTCAAATTCAACCAATGCTTATAAAAATCTCCGAAAAATAGCTGCTCTGTTTGCATTGTTAAAGTCGTTTTACTCAGAGGTTTTAATATTGAGATTAGTTCTTGGATCTCGTTCCATTCCTCTTCTGTTAAGGCCAGAGGTCCTTTTAAATTTTCTTTGCAAAAATCTTTATGCTCCAACAGCCTTTCTAACATTTGATATGTCGAATTCCACCGTGTTGGAACATCCATTTGTGGTTTTCTCAAATGCAAATGTTGTAAAGTGTATCTGAGAAAATAATATTACAATATAATTAAAGTAATTATTAAGAGTAATAAAGGGGAGATTTAATGATACTTTCAAAATTTTACCTAAATGTTGATGTTCTTAATGTTTTAACAACTTGACGAGCATGATGTATTAATTCGATTTTATTTTCTGCCAAATAATCCTTAACAGCTAATTGTAATGTATGGGCTGCACATTTGACCGATATAATATTTTGATATTCATTACAGAAATTTTGTATAACATCATCAACACACTGTTCATTGTTATTATCGTAACTTTCATTGCTGAACCGCTCTCTTTCTTCATCAACTTCCACGTCATTTTCATCAGAAATTAATTCTACTGCTTTTAAAATGTTCCGTCCATTATCTGTCGTTATACTGTAAATTTGGTTCTTCTTTATGTCAAATTCTTGCAAAACAGTTTCAATTTCATTTTTTAGATTCTCAGCCGTATGCCTTCTTTTAAGCTGTTTCATAGATAATGTGTACACAAAAATTTTATTATTGTTAATTAATTGGATATTTATTCCTAAAAGTGATCTTTCATGCCTTGTGGCTATATCCATTTTTAAAGAAATCATTCGTCCTTTAATCAATTTCTTAATTTCACTTTTCATAAGTACTTTTCAGTGACATAATTCATTATATTTGTCGATGAGATCGGAGACATGTGTAGTCCTTTAAATATTTGTTCAGTGAGAACTCGAAATGCATGAGAATCGAATAGTGAGAAAGGTTGAAAATCATTTGTCACAAATTCAATGCAAGCGTTTGTTACTTCTTCAATAGAGAATTTGACTGAAAAGGTTTTTTTTTCTTCACACGATTTTTCTTCATCTCTTTTTTCTATGCTTTCTCTTTCTTCTACATATAATTCTAAATGTTTCTTTATTATGTGTCTTTTTAAATTAGTAACATATGTCCCTTGAAATGCAGCACCACAAATTTTGCACACGCTCTTCTGTAATTCATTATCAACATAAAAAAATTCACGTATAAATATATCCCTTTTCCGTCCCATTGTACGATAAAGTAATAATAAAAGAAACACTAAATTAATATAAGCAATAGTTTAATAACAAAGCAATAATGTAACGAGATCAATGAATCAAAGACAGAAGTATAGCACGATAATATGAATACGTGTTGCGCGATAGCTGGCAAACTTTCAACTAACTTATTCACGCAGCAGCGTATTTACGTAAATATTGACACTCTGACGTTTTCTTTTAGTTTGTCCTTCTTTTTAAAATAATAAAAACACTGTTTTGGCGGATTCAAAGAATTATTGTGAATTATTGTTGAATGCAAAACAATACAGTATTAGGTAATTATGCTGATTAGGGGAGCCATCTCCGTTCTCAATAATTTTTACATATGTTGTCAAGGTCATTGTTCCGAGTAATAATATGAAGGTTTTGGCGGGGATCGTTGTTTGTTAAAAAGTTACAAAAGAAAGAAGTCTACTGAACAATGTGCAATTTGTGGACATTCTATATATGAATACAGGGTGCGTCGCCAAAATCCGGACAAATTTCAATTTGATATTCCCTCCGTTCAGTACCATTAGCAGATGTCGCGATTGGCATTCAAATAGCTTGACGCATGTACTAAACTACCATAACTTCGAAACAGTCGCAATGTTGAAACCCAGTGCGGAGTACAACCGAAGAGCCGCGATTATCAAAAGTATTCGCGCCGGGCGCTCGGCGACAGAAATCATTCGGTTTTTCGGGTATCCGAGATCGACTGTGTATGATGT